AAGTGTCGCAATAAGGACCCTCTACCGGACCCGATACGGCATCCCTGTGAGTCACTTCCAGCAATGTAGCATTCAAATATGCAACCACACTCAAAATAGCTGTTATAAACATAGAGGTCACTTGATGGTGTGCTTCATTTGAATCTGATTGGTATTTCCTAGGATGTGTAAATTGTATTCAATTGTTGTAGCAACAGATCCTCTAGTTATGTTACCTCCTTCCAGGTTTCTGTTGAAAACTCTAGAATATAAACACTCATATTTAAATTGTATATTATACAATGGAAGAGGATTATTCAGAAGTTACAATGCCCTTCGTGAATTTCATGTTACCTCTCTTAATCCTCACACCATACCTATAAAATGGGTATGTTCACTGTATTTTACAGATGAAGACATTAAGTTTTTAAGAGATGGAGTATCTCTCCCAAAGATATACACTAGGGATAGAGACAGTTTTCACTCTAACTTTCCATACATATACCTTTTATTACACCATAAGCTTTACTTTATGTAGTAGGGGGACAAATAAATACGCAGAATTTTTTTAGGAAGAATTCATTTTATTCCATTGAATTTATTTTATTTTTTCATTTAAAAATCTTTATTAGTTTTTTAATTACAAAGGAATAATACATGATATACATAATATTAATGACAAATTCAGACACGCAGAAGTATATGAAGTAAAAATCTAATCTCTCTACCCCTAATTCCACTTCCCAATGATAAACACTATTAATAATTTGGTGTGCATCTTTTCCTTTTTTTTCTATGCCTATAAGCATATAAACAGAGATTATCTGTATGTCTAGCTATAGATACAGATATATAAGGTTTTGGGTTCGGGGGGTTTTCTTTTGTTTTTATTTAAAAATGGGGTCATACTACAATGTAAGTTTTTTTTTTCCTTATATTGGTAAACAGCTTTTCACGCAGTAATATTGATTCTTTTTAATGTCTGAATAATTCCATCATACAGATAATTTACTTAATAATTTTCCTTTTTGTGAAAGACTCAGTAATGTTGTTATTTCAACAGTTGTACATAACTGATTATACATGTGCACTAGTATTTCTGTAGAATAGTTTCCTAGATATTAAATTGACAGATCACAGGGTACACACATTGAAAATTTTTATATATGCTGCCAAAGTACCCTCTAGAAAGAAGAATGAATTATCAGTTTATAATCCATTAGCAATATATAAGTGTGTCAGTATTGGATAATATCATTGTGCCAACTGGAGAAGCAAAAATAGTATTTCATTGTTGTTTTAATTTTTATTAGTCACATCAAACAACTTTTTGAAAACTTATTGTCCTTTTGTGTTTCTTCTGTAAATTATCTGTAATTTGT